GATAATAATAATAATATTATTACCACTACCTCTACTACTCATAATAATAGCAATAGTAATGATAATAATAATAATAATGATAAACATAACAATAACAATGCACATGTCAAAGCGTTCGTCACTGCCGCAACATACGATGCTTCGATCATCGAACCAGGCCATCGACTCCAACTAAAAACTTTACATATTACTTCTTAAACTAAAAATCTGTATGTCGGGCGATAGAAAACCCACAAAATACATGAGAAAAAAATAAATAAATAAAAAATTAATTTCACGCAAACACTCGACAAAGACAAAACTAAATCTAAGCAAAATCTAACAACGACAACACGATGACGACGCGACAAAGGAAAGGAAGGGAGGAAGGAAGGAAGGAAGGAAGAACACAGACCTGATCCTCGCTCTCTATCTTCTCGCTGACGTCTTTCACGCCCTCCCCCTCTCCCATGCCTCCTCCCTCGATGTCCTCAAACTGCGTCGCTCCCTCTTCGGCCGCCTCCTCCCCGTACTGCGCGGGCAGACAGAACCCGCGTCGCGCGAGGCTCGCGAACAGCCCCAGCAGCACGTGCAGGAGGCGTGCGGCGGCGCGGTGCGCGGCGACGTATCGCGTCACACACTGCTGTGCCGCGCGCGCGTACTGGTCGAGCACGGGCAGCATGGCGGCGGCGATGCCGGGCGGGGCGCGCGCCACGTCCCGGCAGACGCGCGCCGCCGCGGCCGCCGTCGCACGCAGACGCAGCGTCGCGACGTCCGCGCGCGCCGCCCGGTGCAGCTTCTCCACCAGGTGGCCCTGCTGCAGCCGCGCGTCGTCGTCGTCTTCGGTCGCCGTCGGCGATTCCTCCCCGTCGTCCCCCGCGGCGGCGGATGCAGACTCGCCGCGCTTGTACAGCTCCTGTATGCTGTGCAACATGGAGGTGATTAGCGACGCAACCCTTCCCGCAAACTCTCCCGCCGCCGCCGCCGCCACCGCCGCGTCGTCGTCGTCGCGCGACCTGGCGTCGACCTCCCACACCCACGCGCGAAACTCCTCGCAGTCCTGTGCCGCGCGCTCCCGCAGCAACTCCAGGGAGCGTCCCGCGGTGAGGGCGCCACCGTGTCGGTGCGAGAACGCCCGCAGCAGGTCATCGCCGACCTTCGCCGCAACCTCCCCGAGGCGCGCGTACGCAACCTTCGTCGCTTCGAGGTCGCCGCTCGACAGCAGCGCCCCCTGCCGATGCCGCCGCGCGTCGGCGATCGCCGCCACGGCGTCCACCTCCCCCAGGAGGTCCCGCACGCACTCCGCCATCTTCTCCCAGTTCTCGTCGCCCCGCCGCATTCGACACAGCTCCGGAAGCTGTTCCCACGGCAACGCGTTCAAGTTCGTCACGGGCTGTTCGACGGCGTCTGGGCAGCTGTGCAGCAGTAGCTCCACCTGATGTAGGCATTTGCGCGTGTAGCGAGTCAGGTCTTGCGCGTTGGAGATGAAGTAGCGGAGTTTGTCCTGCGGCGGGAGCGTCTGCTCGGCGGCCATGTTGGTGATGTCACTGTGACACGCGCGCAGGTCGCTGAGCAGCGTCACAGACGCAGCAATGTCGTTATGCTGCTTAACGACAAGGTCCATTAGATGCTCGCTGTAACCACGGCTACGCTCTATGTTTCCCACACCCAACTCCTGCGAACACAACCACAACAACAACGCGTTAGAAGCATTGCAATAGAGTACCGAAGTGATGACGTCACGGTGGCATGACGAGCCTGCTGGTTCTACACAATCATATGCCCTGGTAACATTAACTGCGTGTCGTGTTTTGTACCCGATTGTAACCATCATTCTGAGAGTCATTATTGCAGTTTTTATAGATTTTTTTTTTTAAATTAATTTTTTTTTAAATTCATTAAATATTGTAAGATCGACTTGCTACCGATGCTTTACCGCTGTCTGCAGCGCACACACTCGTGTTTTACGTACGCACAA